GTATTCGTAATGTTTTTCCAGCTAAATTTGTTTTATTATTTTTCTTATAAAAATACAGTCCAACCTTTAACCAATACCATATAAATCACAATTTAAAACTTTGTACAAAATTTAGGAATATTCAACAAATTTTCATCAAAATTTCAATTTTTTAACCTGAATATTAAAAACCTTTCAGGGTATGCAGTTTTATAACACTCGTTGATTTTTGAGAATCTTTTTTGTGGAGACTGCTTTTGTGTTTTTTTTTATATAACAAGTGCAATTTACAAAAACTGGAGTAGATTTTCTGAAATTTTGTTGCGAACGGTGTCCCGCATTTTATTTCATGGAAAGTGTGCAAATACGTAACCTAAAAAAAAAATCTGAAAAATCAACGGAAATTTTTAGACCGTTGAAACTTGCATTTCTTAACTGCATACCAGAAAAATTCTAAAGATTCAGATTAAAAGGTTAAAATTTTGATGGAAAATTTGTTGAATTTTTCTAAATTTTGTATAAAGTTTGAATATGTTATTTATATGTGTTTGATTAAAGCTTGGACGGTATTTTAACAGAAAAATAACAACAACAAAAAAAAAATTTAGCTCGAAAAACATTATAAATAATTGAAGTAAATCAATACGTTGTCACTTGTGTGAGTCACTGTATGTACAATTAATATGCATACTTTCCAACCTTGGGAATAATAATGCGATTCAGGAGTCAAACTTTTCACAGGAAGTAACTATCGATTCACGCAGTTTCCTGTTCAAAATAATATCGTAATTTATTTGCATATAATACATAGCTGCATATGCACACATTTGTTAATTTATTTCCATACGAATATTACAATGATAAACTATTTATTAGCTTGCTATTGACTGCTGAAGGTTATTACGTTATTAGAATTTAAATTTTTCATAATTTGGTATATTTGAAAATCGGAGCTTTTCTGAAATTAATACACCAGTGAGATGATGACCATCTCGAGGTATGTATATCTTTAAACAAGGTTATTTGAACTTAAAGTGGAGTTACAACCGAATCGGATTTGCGGGGGGAAATTTCCCCAACCTTTAGAGGATTTTATTTGCTTGTCAGGTGGTACAGTCTAATGTATATGCATTTCGTAATTATGATGGTATTTATGAATGTATGCATATGGCAAATATGCGAATTTTCAACACAATTCCCGGTGGTTAGTAAAAATGCGCACATATTGCGCATTTCACAAATACCAACATTAGCTATTTAATATCAAATCAAATTTTAATCTAATCGAAACCTAAAAGCACACACACTCACATACGTACATGCATATATGCAAGTATTTATTTACTCGAAATAAATTTATATAATTCTATGAATGTAACTGCTAAGTGGACATGTCTTTGAATGTATGTATGTATGTAGATATAAATATGAAAAGCTGCGGTGCATATAGGTTATAATTGTTGTTGCCAAAATGCAATGCATTGGGCGTCTTTTCCCGCTCGTTGCCTGTTTGTGATGTGTAAAGCGGAAGAGGCAGGGTACGAGCATAACTTGGCCCGCTGCCCATTGCAATGATATGCACATGCACATACACACATATGTATGCACGTGTGTGTAGGCATGTAATAGCAACAAATTCAGCGAATGCCTGTTGGCCTGCACCAAAGCCAAACAGGAATTGTAAGGAAATGCAATGGGCCAAAATAGCAAAGCATTCGAGCAAGCAGCATTCATTGCATGCGGCGATTTGGCAGACAAACATGGGTGAACAGACGGACAGATGGACGTATCTACATATGTGTATGCAGGTTTAGGAGGTTAGTAAGCAAAATAGATAGGCGGATGTAGAAACACGTAACTAGTAGATGCAAATGATATGTATGTAAAGGCGCAGTGTGGTACGCGTATATGCATACATATGTGTGTGTGTTTCTGTGCCAGCTTTTGGGCGCGTTTTCGCTTGAATTGCGCGTAAGGAACACTTGACAGTTACATGCCAAAAATTTATGGCACTTTTAAGAAAAATAACATTCGTTAGTGCATATGTATTCATGTTTATGCGCAGCTGGGCATGTAAATTTTTTTATTTATTATTTTTATGACTATATGCCACTCACTGCCCTTATATTCCAAGATATTTTTGCGTTTATTTATGAATTTCTTATAATATTAGTTTCGTGGCCCAACTCGCCAGAAATTGCAAGTTCTTGTAGTTGCTTCCCTGCCAAATTATGGGACAAATGAGAGAATAAAAGAGATTCTTTCTTTGTCAGAAGTTGAAAGATTCTACCCGACGAATATTCGCTGGTAAAGTCTAATGAAGTATCAAACCATCAGTTGTTTTTGTTTTGTCAAAGCAAAGTGAAAGTTGAGTGAACCAAAAAAAAAANTCAAAATTGATACACCTCGGCTTACCATCTAGCGGAAGGTTTCGGAAGGGTGAAAAAACATATATTTAATACTTGCGCCGGGTATTTAATGTTCGGCTCCGCCCGAACTTAGACTTTCTTACTTGTTAAGTAATAATTTCGTATTCCGTATCAGAATTTTCAGAGTTACCGTATTTTTGCGACCAAAATCCTCGAATTGGGCTTGATTTAACCCGAGTGTGCCCAACAAAATTAATTAACGGTGTAGTCCAACACGGGTACCTGGGTACTCACTTACGGATTTATATCTAAAATTCGGTTGTAACTTAGTATAATCCTGGGTATTAGATGTATATTGTTTTATTTATTATTAAAGAAGATATTTTTATACAAAATAAACGATAGTATTATATACAAGAATCTTTGTAATAGAAAGTCCGGTGTAATCTGTAATGGGCCAGCGCCTATACTGGTGAATTCCGAGAAGGTCTGGTACATTAAACTGAAAAGGGAAGCAATAAGAGGATCTCTATGTTATTTTGTACCCGAGGAATATACTAGAACACCTTTGAAACAAATATGTATTATATTCAGATAACGGTTACTTTAGTATTGCCTGAAAAGTAAAAAAACTGTGTTTTTGTATTTTAGTAAACCAAATATTATTTATACTAGCTCCATTTAACAAATAAATAATCAAAAAACAATATTATTTGTTATAACTTATTTATTTATACATATTACCGACTATTTTGTACATTCGTGTACATTTTTTCAAATTCAAAATCTGCTAGGCTGAAAAGAATTATAAAATGCTTTGCTCCATTTAAAATCAGTAAAATCGAGGGGATCCGGGAGGATTTTAAAAATTTGTTCCTTGAAAAAAAAATTTTTTTGATAGTATCAAATTGATACAATATGTGTCGATGGGTACCCGGGTACCCGGTTTGACACACTAGGGTTAAGCACAGAATTTTTATTTTTGTTCTCTGAGGGTCTGCATTTTAACGAAAAAAAAAAATCAAGCTTTGTAAGTATTTTTGTTTGATTGCGCATGTATTTGCGCATTATTTTGCAAATCAGCAAATGTTAAAAAACCGACTGTGTAAACAAAAGCTGACGTTTACGTTGAATTTGACAGAATTACCAGTTTTTACCCAGAAAAAGATTCCCGTACTTCTTGGTGGACCATTTTACCAATTTTACCTTCATAAAAGTTGAATAACGCAACTATTATTCCCCTTCGCGTTACGTATACGCCCCGTCTGTACGCTACCCCCAATAATCAAAAAGCCGATACTGCGCCCACCGGTGCAGGTATGAATTTTATACCACTAACGATTGCAAAGCGAGCGAAAATATGCAAAGGCATATGTGTACCTATGAAATTAAAAAAAATCAAAAATTGTCTAAAAAAAAATTAAATAAAAAAAAAATATGCATATTCATATACAGTTGCACAAATTTACTCTTTTTCGCATCGCGCATTTACTTCAATAGTGGCATAATTTCAAAATTACAAATATCGAGCTAAGCATGCAGAAATTACCGCTAACTGTTAAAAAAAATTATATTATATCAAAATTGCATAGCTGCATCGATTACCAGTATCTCACTAGAACAAAATAGGTATTCATTTCTACTATGGGAGTGTACATATGTATGTAAATTCAAAACTTTAAAGCCGTTTTTGTGAAGCTTCGCTTTTTGGAGTTATGACACTATTGAAGTAAATGAGCGATATGTAGATACAAACATATGTATGTGTGAATATACATACAAAGTTAGCATTTTATCAAAATCGAGCGCCTGCATACAAAAAATTTTCGAACGAAAAATTTTGAAAAACGAATGCTCGCCCACACGCTCGAACAACTCGCCGCAGTCTCGCCTACAAGCCTATAATACGCCTCGCACATAAGCGGCAGCGCCCGGCAACGACGATGAAATGAATCACAGCCTACGCTAGCGGCTTTGGCAAATACCAACACAACAACAATTCTGCCAACAACATCAACCACCGGTAAAATATGTTCAACATTTTCATACACTAATAGGCTGACTCTGCCTTTGCTTGGTGGTTGTTGGTTCCCCCGGTTAGTTGGCTGTGTTGTTGTTGATCGCCTGTTGCCTGTTAGCTTTTGGATGCTAGCAGTTGGCTATTAATTGCTACTGCACCCTAGTGGTCCCTGTATGTGTGTGTGTGCAACTAAAAAATACGATTTTTTTTTTAAATAAAAAGTTTATATTTCACATTAGATATGTTTATGATAGCGCACAACCACAGTAATAACAACAACAACAACATCGCCAAGCAGCCTTCACCCACACACTTACGCCAATATAACCCCTGTCACCGACCGCACGTTGGGTATCTATCTGCCAGCCGCCCACCCACACCTACCCGCACTACTTTCATTTTTGGCATTGCCAAAGCCCACCTGAATATACCCCACACTCTGCACAGCTGTTGTCTCTGTCTCACATAAGCGCAACTAACTATGCTGTTGCTGCTCGCACGCATTCGCTCTCTTGCGAATTTCGCTGCACGATCGCGCTATGGCTGGCTGGCGGACTGCTAGCTGCATATGTGTGCGTTTATGAAAATTGAATTTTCAGAAAAATTTCCTCAACATAACGCGCTGGTTTCTTGCTTGATCGTCAGTCTGTTTAGTCGAACCGCAGCATTCGCTCCCAACGTCGTCAGCTGCTCGGACTATCGTAGAGAGTTTAATTTTGTTTCTTTTCCCTAAGTAAGTTTTCAATGAGAAAAAATTCATGAAAAATTTATTTATTATAGGCGATACACGAAAGTATAAAAAAATATAAGCAATTTATGAGAAGAAGTAATGAATTTTGAAAAGCAAAAAAAACTTTTTTTTTGTTATCCTTGTAAGCATTTCAAGGCTCTGTGGTAGTATTGGCGTGGCGAAAGTGTGCCGAAAGCTCGAAAAGTGCGAAATGAGGAAATTCGCTAGAGGATTTTCGTAGACTGAAAATAAAAGAATTATATAATATGCTGGACATTTCTCCGAAATCGCATGAAGTGATTGAAAATAATGTTTTTTTTTTTTATAAACTAGTGCGCTATTCAATAGCAGTGTGTGTGAATATTTGACTCCTTCACGGATAAAGTGTGTAAAGTGGAGTTAAGTGGAGTAGTGACTCTGAAGCTACTGATTGGACAAGCATACTGGAACTGAAGCAAAAAATTTGTAGGGATTGGACGACAAATACAATATTATGTAAAAAATAAAAAAATATTTAAAAAAGAAAATAAAGTAGAGCAATTGCTCTTAAATGAATTTAATATAATTTTAAGAAACAAAAAAATCAATTAAAGCAAGACAAAAATAACAAATTTCAAAAGGACTAAAAAATTAAAAATTAACAAATATTTATCAGCCAAAGCTCATAGTAAAATTTTATTTATATTGCCGATTAAATAAAAAATAACTTTAAATGAAAATTAAATAAAATATTTTCACTTTAAAAAAGTTAAGAAAAATTATATTTATATTTTTTATTTTTATAAAATAAAAAATAAATTTTTATAAACGAAAATTATTTGAATACCAAAATTTAAATAAAACGAAATTTAATTTTTTACAAAAAAGATAAACAATTTTTTTTTAATTACATTGAAAAAATCATACTTTTTATTTAAAGAATAAAATATTTCGCTCTGTAAATGAAATAAAATTACATTAATTTGAAACGATCGAGAAACCAGCGGGCTATCGGTGAGTACTTGAAGAAGTAACTCCCTAGAAAATCTCAAAAAAAAAAATAAAAATAAAAATAAAATAAAAAACCTCAACTTATACAGCAACATCCACTGCGCTATATGCTACTGCCACGCACCACAGCAGCCAGCGAATGTAGCGCAGCAGCGCATACAATTTGTGGCACGCAAGACGCCTCAGTTGTATGGCCAAAAATAGACATCGGGCCGGAGCTCAGTGTGTTACATGATATACCGAACGATCAGCAGGCCAAAAGCAACTAGCAACAGAATAAATAAAGAACCAAAGATAAAAAAAAATATAATTGAAAAAAAAATTACAAAAAAAAAAACAATGAAGAGCGAAATGAAAACTGGCAAAGGAAAACAAACAACAAGAGTCAAGAAGAGCAAAAGCCAAGGCAACAGGCAATGAAATTGTACAAAAGTGAGGCATACGGAACAACAGCAGAGCGATTGCGTTGCTGCAGCTGCTGGTCATCACGAAACAAGCACTCAAATGCACACACACACACACACACACTCGCAAGCAAACACACACTGTAACACACGCGCATTATAAACGCACAGAGCCACATGTAGCACTTGCAGCGCAACAACAAAAACTAGAGAATTTAAAAGAAAAAAAAAATTGTGTGAATTTAAAAATAATTTTCATAAGAAAACCAATGCTAGAATGACTACTAGTTGGACTCGTGCATGTAGAGTGTACATATCTACATACATATGTGCATAGGAATGTTTGCACAGTTTGCCACCTTGGCCAAATGAATTGAAATGAAACGATAAAGGAAAGAGGCACATTCGAAAAAAAAAAACAAAAAAAAAAGAACTGCAAGCAAGCCAAACATGAAAACTAATGAAAATGGCAATTCGCAGTGTGTACGTGAGTAAAATTTGCTGTGCGAGTATACATATACATACATGTGTATGGGAGTGTGAGTGCATGTGCGCGTGTGTGAGTGAAAAACAGCAGAAAAACGGTAAAAGACGATGATGCAGACCATTCTAAATTCGGAAATTACGAGGTGATAAGCAAACACCGTTCCAACGTATCATACGAAATTTGGAAATATGTATGTTTTGGCAGAAGCACATACATAAATTGGAATAAACACATACATGCACATGTACATGTAAAGGAGCACCCTCAAACACACGTAAACATTAAGAGGCACACAAACACTCGCATACTCACAGCAAATAAATAGAAAGCTAAAGTTTACATAAATATCTTAACCACTATGCACACACACACACACAAACACACACACACACACTTATCTATACTCCTTATACTTATGCCGCTCGCAAAAAAAACTTTGAAGCTTTCGGCACGAAGTGAAGCACGATCGTTTGTTTTAACGAAAATTCTTGCGTTTTTTGTTGTTGCTGCAATTTTTTTTTTTTTTTTTGAGGGGTTAGATTGAGAGGGGGCGTTTCACCCACGCATTGTGCTATTTTTATTCACTTATTTTTATTGTTTTTTTTTTTTTTTTTACTTTAATGCACACACACACACACACACACACACACGGGCACGCTTTTGGCAGGAATTTTTCGCTGTCATTTTTTCTTATTATTTTTGGAATTTTGCCATTTGATACTGAGCATACAAAAATTTGTTAGACGTGAGATTTGGCAGATATGTACATATGTATGTGAGAGAGCGGTGAATGGGGAATGAGAGCTTTGAAAATTCCAACGCTGTTTTAACGATTTTCAGCTAATGTTTTTGTTTACTTTTGGTAGAAAATATTACCACGTATGTAAGTAGCCTTAATTACCATTTTAGGTTTTCAAAGTCAAGTTTATTTTTCGTCTCTGTTTAATTCCTATTTCTATGAATTCATACCAAAAATTACATTGGTTTTCTTACAACTCTAATGAATATCTTTATTATTGGTACTCAATTATGTTACTAAAGCACTTTTTCCTGGCAGATGGCACGAAAACCCACAATAAATATTTTTTATTATTTCTGTTGCTTGAAAAAGTATTTAGCCGTAAAATTTCTTGAGGAAACCATTATACGAGTATTTGTTTTGTCAAATACAATGCAAAATGATTTAAGAAATTTTGTTAGCAGACAATTTCTGTTTAATCTCTCTTTTAATCTCTTTTTGTTGGTTGTTCTTGAGAGCTGGATTCTAAGCTTTAGAAGTAAAACTAATGTGTACTTTTTTACGAGAGCACATGCACTTGCAAACAAGACACTAAACGATTTCCGACGAAAGGCCAAACTAGTAGCAAATTGTGCAGGAAATAGCCGGTCATTGGCCAAAAGTGGAGTATGCCGCCGAATCTGGTACACCGACTATACACTGCCGTTTGGAGGCCAATCTTAGAGGAAAACGGCTATAGCAGCTAGATGCATTCCTGCATAAAAAAAAATATATATTTTGAAAAAATTGCTAAGATATTTTTTTCGTAGTTAGTGCTCAATTATGAGGGAAATTCGCCGTAAATGTCATATCAAGCTACAATAAGTTAAAATCTGCAAAGAATATGATGGTGGTCATACTATGGATCAACTGCAGTTAACTCCCGAGTTGATCCGGATCAACGCTGCCGTCAGTTTATGCTTTTAAGGAGTGATTAGGCAGAGGAGTATACGCTGAGCAACTTAAGATGACGACGTCACTGTTGTAGCCGCTACAACAAAAACAACAACGTCACTCTTCCTTTTCCCAGACTATTCTGGTATCTTTCAGGACGAGCTAGAGGCTATACAACGGCAAGAAATTGCTGATAGTCTAATTTGAATAGCTGTCCGAAACAATGAAATCTAATTCTATTCGGAAATTCAAGTTCTCAATGATCAAATTGGAAACGACAGCGAATTAGCTCAATACGTTGGCAACACAGTTCGTTTTGCATTTGGGATGGCTACCAAGGCATTGACGCTTACTGTAAGCTCATGATGGAGGGAGGTGTTTGCAAAAAAACCCTTCGATGCGGGACTATGCTGGACATAAGAAAATTGCAAGAGCTTCTCTCGTTTAGAAGAGGGGATATTGACAGAAAATAAAAAATCATTTTCCATCTAAATTGCTTTTGGAATCGGCTGTTAGTCTCCTTAAAATTTCAACAACTTTTTTTGTTAGAAAATGCAGCTCTAATTATTTTCGTCCAAGCAAGGCATATCAAACAGGTAATAGCATTAGAGCAAAAACTACATTTACGTTTATTTTGTTGATGCTTCTGGCTTCGAAAGTGTCAGTAAATAATATACTTTTTTTTTTAAATATCATAGTAGGCGATGCGAAATATAAAAAAGAAATAAAGAACAAATAAATAAACATTGGTGCGAATTTCTTTCTTTGTGGATTTGTTTCATTCCTGCAGCTCCTGAGTAGAGAAACGTTTTTTTTTTTGTTTTCAATCGCTTTTTTTGGAGAATCACATGCAAATACATTTTGCCAAATAAGAATTTTTGCAAAAAAAAATTTACAAAATTTTACAGTTCAGAGACCAAGTAATTTGAATAAAATCAAAACAGCTGCTCTACTGGTAGTACTTGTGTAATATGCCTTGCGTCCAAGATATATTCAACAAGATAGATGTGACAGCCAAATTTATGTCAGAAAAATATGTAAAAATTAAATACAAAAAATGTTTTCAATATAATTTGAAATAATACGTTCAATATTTGACTGGCAATATAACTTCTACCTTGTTGAATATGACGAACAAAATCGTCTTGAAGATTGTTTAACTGAAATTCTTTACGGCTTCCAACTTAATAAAAGTAGAGCTTGAAATTTAGAATAAAGCTTTAAGTAAGAAGTTCTGTTTAACTCGATTGGAACATTTAGTGTTAACGCACAATTTTTTTTTAAGTTCTTTAAAAAAAGCTGTAAAAGTAACTTGAATATAATTTGAAACGAAATATTTATTTAAAATTTCGCTAAATTCTTTATTGAAGCAACATTTATTTACGAACAAATTGTTTTTGTTTTTCATCACGTAAACAAAATACGAGCATCTAAGCGATATCGCGTAGCGCTAAATAAATTTCATGCAGCAGTCACAAAAACTTGTACAAATAAGACGTCATTAACACATAAAATGTTTTCGAAAACATATGTAAGTTTATTTAAAAGATCGAAAACATTCCAAAAAACCATTTGTGTCAAGATTTTTCGACGCCCACGCAATGGGCTATTTTTTGCAACTCAATGTCGAATATGACCCGGCAACACTCTGCGCAGCAGCACAAATTCTGAACACTGCTTACGTATCTCAAATACAAATAAATGCAATCATAGATGTATGCACATATACATATATATACACACAACACACACACACCTACGTATATCACCTGTGAAGATCTCGACATCCTCCTATTGCGCATTGAGTGGTGTGTTATGAGCATTTTAATTTGTTATTACCCAATATGTAACACTAAAAGCCACACAACAACAAATACTCAACTCAACTTTTCTGCCGCTCCCTCCTTTCATTCGCTCTTTATCATCCCCCATCCTCCTCCCGATTAACGCTCGCTCAGTGTGGCTAAAGCTTTTTAACTTGTGGAAATTCAATACGATCTATTTTTAAATAAAAACAAAACAACAAAATGAAATAAAAATAAAAATATTTTTCCTATGCAGTAAATATTCAAACGTTATGTGTACATGCGTGTATGTAAGTATGTATGCATACATATTTCTTTGTGGTTGTGCTATATGCACATGTATGTGTATGTATGTATGTGCGATATACTTTTGCGCAAATAAACAGCGAGAAAACTTATGCATAATCACACTCAAAAAAAAAATCTTGTTTATCCGCACATGCACACAGCACATAGTACACTTGGGATTGAAATGTGTTCACATAAACGAACTCATATAAATTCAAAGAGAATAAATGCATTTTTTTTTTTTTTTGTTGATAGGCGATAAAATTCTCTTCCAATTGCTGGCCGGGTGAAAATAACTGCACATATATGTATGTATGCATCACGCACACACACACACACATTTGTTTCTATAAATTTTCATATGCAGTGATTTTGTCTGGGGAATATGATTTTGATAATGAGAAGCAACACCAACTGTTGTTGTTGGCTTCGTGGTTGGTTTTGCATGTGCGTGTGTGTGTGTGTGCGTGTGTGGTTTACACGAATATTTCGCTTACTGGTTTTGCAAATATGTCGCGTTAGCACAAAACTTTTGTTAGCAAATATTTAAAAAAAAAAATGCAACATTTTGTATACTTTATGCAGCAGTTAACTGCTGGCAAAAATAGAGCAAAAATTTGCAAATGCATTTAACGAATTTCGACATCATTAAACAGCGTACAAACTATAGAGTGCAACAAAAGTTGGCTAGTAGAGTGTATAACTGTACACCTTTGTAATAAAACACAAGCCGGTGCATATGCTGTTAAAAGCATTCATCACTTTTTTTTTTGTTTTTGTCCCTTTGAAAGTATGTATGTAAGTTTCTCGCCTTCAACAGCAAGGTTTCGTGTGGCGGTTATGTGGAAAATATTCGGTATATTTGCAAACTGTGCACTTTATTTGATTGGTTACATGCATGAGCATATACATATATATATGTGTATGTGAAATGTATGTATGTATGCTCGTAAGCAATTAGAGTAATGCAACAAGGTGGTCGCTATAGTCCGAAAAATGATGCGAAAGACTTTTGACATTTTTTGAAAGGGAATACAAAATACTGTAGTAAAGATCTCTAAAGAAAATAATAAAGAGAATAAATACTCCTAAGTATGTATAAAAACATATTTTGGTGGAGTGAGTACTGCAAAGCAATGGTGCTGTGCAGTCCACTCCTCCAAGTTGAAATTCTTTAACAAGTACACAACATTTGTATACAGTTAGTGCCCGTGCATTTTCATTTTTTTTTTAAAACAATTTTTTTGAATTTAAATTTTACTAATTTTATAAAAATATATGTACATAGTCACACTACAATAAAATCCATAAAACTCAAAATTTCTAACTTGGTAAGAATTCAAAAAATTGTCAAATTTTCATCAAAAATTCACACATTTTATTTCGAGTTTTTAGATTATTTTTGGGTTTGTTGACGGTGTTGCGCTTTTTCTTCTGTATGAATATCATTCGTGATATGGAAGAAAATATGTATAAATATATAAATATTTATTACAAAATAATAAAATTTAAATTAAATATGCACAATATTAAAAAAGTGGGAAAAAAATGTATTGCACGATTTTCACTGACACTCACTGTATATACTTCTAGATAGATATAGAGTATGCACAGCGACCAGTAGGTTTATTATGCTCATCACAACACTACATCTAGCCCCTAAAGATCCTATAATTTTAAGAATAGATCCCAGGGATAGGGAGTGGATGTGTTCTTCTCTTGGCCGTAGATGTCCCATGCACCTCTTCCTTCTCCGTGAAACGGCCTCACACAACAGGTGCAATCATCTCTCTTTGGTAGAGTCACAAAAGCGATCGATTGACCAGTTCTCTAGCTTGTGCAAGTGGCCTCTTGGCCCTATATTGATGCATCGGAGCTATTGATAAAACATATCGCACACCTAATACATCTAAAATGCGATCAACTAAACAAAAAATTTGGGCGATGCTTTTGCATAAATCAATTCATAGGACTTATGTACATCCAACTAATGGAAATAATTTTTTATTTTTCTTTTTTTTAAGTTAGGCGGTTAGGCGCCCTCATTGCTATTTGGTGCTGCGTTGCGGACCCCTCACAATTCGGCGATTATTGCCACGCTAAACACTTGTTTGCATTGCAGGAAAAAGTGCGCCAGCGCGTAATGCAATCAGGATGCCTAGCAAGCTCAGCATCTGAACACTCGTAAAGATTATTGACAATTTTTTATTTCACCGCTGATTAGAGGAATCGCTGCATATTCGAAATGGCTTCTAGCAGCTTTTACGCTACACTTATTCTTTTCTCAAGAGATGATTAGATAGGGCGAGTGGGCTGAGAGGGAGCTGAGAACTTTTTCATGAATGCGTCGAAGCTTGATGTAAGGGTTGCCATCAAAATCAAGTTTAGACATCCAAAATTGGGTAGCGTGCTTCAGCCAGAAGTGGCTTCCATTAGGGAAAGCAGTAGGCAAACTTCTAAATAACTTGTGTAACCCATTTACCCATTAATTCTTAGAAGCAACTTTTGCTCGTTTATTTGAATATTATTAGAGGAAAACTCATATGATTTCTACTGACCTCTGGCATATGATATACACTTATTTGGTATTCAGGTCGGCAAGATTAGAGAGGAGGCCTTATGGAAGCCCTTATTTCAGATCTTTTGAAACGATCGGATGCATAGGTTTGTTTCTTACTTTGCTATTAATTATTATTGATGCTGCATTGTACAACCTATCGATGTCTAAAAAGCATATTTTAATATCTAGTAAGATCCCTTCTTGAGTATGCAACTTTACATGGGATCCGGGGGGTTAGTAAGTAGTGGTTAAAAGCTCGATAAAAATATTGACGGTTTTAAGCTCAAAATTCTATGGTTTGCTTACAAAAGTTGGATAAATGAACTACAATTTGAACTAAATTAATCTATACATATATTACAATTCAATCAATCAATTTTCAGTTTGCAAGCGAATGAACTCGATGTGGCATAATCAAATTAATTCCTAAATAGTTGTTGATAAATCAAATCCACATACGTACATAAAAGCAATTGACTCAAGTGTTTTCAAGTGTATAATACTCCTCTTCAACGCAGTAAACAAAAGTGTATGAGTTCAATAAAACCAAAAATATAACTAAAAAATTTACAAATATAATACATTTAATTCGCAAGCAAATTTTCGCCAACCACTACTCGCCACAAAAGAGATCATAATCTGCGTTAAAGCCTCTTAAAATGTTACCGTGAACAGAAACTTGCCATTAAATAATCCAAAATGATTTTACTTCAATGCAAAATTCATAAAATATTAATAAAGATTTGCAACGGACACTATTCAAATCAATTCGAATTGAATCGACGCAAATTTGCATTGTTTGCATTCACGCTCACACTAACTAACACAATATTTTCTTTTCATTGCAGGTTCTTAATCCCAAACCATAACCATGTCCGATGAAGAGGAGTACACGTAAGTAAAATCGCCACAAATACAAAAGCAAATCAACAGAAAACGAAAGGAAAAAATAGCAGCTTCAGCATAAAAAAAAGAAAAAAAGCAAAGACATTAGAACGAGCAGCACTTAAATGAATTAAAATAACAGACAATTTAGAGTAAAAAAAAAATATTAAAAACAATAAACAAATACCACGTACAAACAATTAAAAATATTGCGTTTACTCGTAACGCCACCACCAAACCAAAAAAAAAGCGAACAAAAAATTGATTAAAAATCATTTAAATACAAATAAAATTGCTTACACAGCACGCACCATGTGCAAAATATGCATTCAATATCCATATTGATAAATTACGTAGTAGTTGCATATTAATTGCTAAGCAAAATTTGCACGCGCGCATACGCCAGAGTGCTACGGGGCGTATACGCAACACACAGCACATTTGACTGTTGCTGTTGCTCTTGCTTGCTTGCTGCAGGTGCACATAACTGCATGCATATGTATATACAAATACGTGCATAAATATTACATTTGGAAAGTATTCGAAAGATGAATAAAAACCGAATTGAATTAACACATGCAAATATGTGTGTTTGTACGTATGTATGTACATACATATGTACGTTAGTTGTTTTATTAAAAGATATTTTATACAAATTAATATTTGTTGGGAATGAAATTTATGACTGGCTGTTAAGGGATTTTCTTCAAATATTCGTAATGTTTTTGGAGCAAATTTTTTTTTGTTATTTTTATATAAAAATATCGTCTAAGCTTTAACCAAAACCGTGTAAATCACAGTTTCAAACTTTATACAAAATTTAGGAAAAAAACAAATTTTCATCAAAATTTCCACATCTTATTCAAAATTTTTAGAAAATTTTTGGTTATACGGTTTTATAGCCCATACAATTTTAGTGTAATGAAGTGCACGTTTCAACGGCTAAAAAATCGCGTTGATTTTCGAAATTTTTTTTTGTGACGGATTTTTTCACTTTTTCATATAAGTATGACTTTTTTATAAAATTAAACGAGGGAGACCGTCAGCAACAATATTTCAAAATATCACCGCAAGTTTTTGTAAATTGCGCTTGTTATACTAAAACACCCGAAAAAGTAGCCTAAAAAAAAAAAATTCTCTAAAATATACGCAATTTTTTAGCCGTTTTAAACTTGCACTTCATTAGACTTAAAATAGGGGCTATAAAACTGCATACCCTACAATTTTCTAAAAATTCAGAATAAAATGTTGAAATTTTGATGAAAATTTGGTGAATTTTCCTAAATTTTGTATAAAGTCATATTAAAAGTAACGGGTAGTTATTAAAAAAAATATATAATAAAAATAAACCCCAACAATTATGTATGTTTACCTCTTTATGTTGTAATTAATTTCATGTTTTGTTTTCTCCATATGTTTATCTCTCTTCACATGTACGACTGTGTTTGCACCACCGTTACAAAACACCAAAAATTACAAAAAAAAAAAAAATACCAAAAACAACACTTATACATACAACTATAAATGTTTATGCACACGTAACCGCCACGAACGTTCGTCCATTGTTCGTTCCATCGATCGTTTGTACGCTCGTCTGCCCGTTCGCCTGCCTGCCTGATCGTATGTACGTCCGCCCGTCCCCACATCACCAAATATGTATGTGTTTCGAACATGAAAACAATCCAAAAATATATGATTATGTATCCATCCATATCTGATCTGTATGCGTGTGTATGTGATTGAATCGAAAAAAAAAACATGCACAAAAAACGTATGTATGTATTCGCATGTACGTCCAACGCCCATATAATGTCAACCAAACAGTTCCGAGGAGGAGGAGGAGGTTGTCGAGGAGACCAGAGAGTAAGTACTGAATACACAAAAAACATACAACATTTATCAGAAAGCATACATTCACCAGTATACAAAAACAAATTTTTATGCAAAGTCATATTTATACGATCATTAAAAAATTCGTGGAAATAAATTAGAAGTTAAAAAATATCGAAAGTTATCATTGCATATTTCTCACTCTTATAGTCATTTTACACTCACTAAGCCTAATACGTATTTCTACTTATTTTTATTAACCATTTCGTATTTAAAAATATACTTATATGCTTCGAAATTTCGATATTTGGTTTAGTGGTAAAAAAAATATTTAACACAAATATTTGATGCAAAATGAAAGAGGTATGAAAGATTGTAGTATTGAAAAATCGATAATTTTTACAAAAATCTTGTTTGGACAGGGCATATAAGACGAGAAAGAAATAGGCAATAGGGTAGGGGTAGGGGGGTCCGTGTAATGTGAAAGAGTTGTATAAGGCTTAGAGAATACCCCTATTGTTTTGTTTTGAATTTCACAAATATTTGAATCATAACAGCTACAAATATTTGATACGTCATAGTTACATTGGGACAAAAACATTTTTATTAAAAAAGTAAATTTATAATTTTTTTGTCACGTATTTTTAGCTCCAAAAAATTTTAATATAAACAGAAAATGAAATTATTTTTACTATATGATTCAAAAGTAAAAAATATTTTTTTTTAAAGGAATAAAAAAATTATCAGCAAGTGTCTTTTAAAAAAAAAAATGTGCAAGAAAATAATTAATAAAGTCGTTAAAAATACATACAAAGTAATGTATGTAAATATAAATTATTATAGCATAAAAAAAATAAATTGTATAAAAAATTATTTTTACTTAAAAAAGATAACTATTTTTACTGAATAAAAAATTAAACAAAAATTTTAAATTTGTAATCAAAATTTTAAATCTAATTAAAAATTTTTTTTCACACTTTTACTTATTAACGATTTTGTAGACAGCCAAAGAAACATTTGTTGCGTCTGTTATTTAAATTTTTTCAATTAATATCTTAATAATTATGGTAAATTTTATTAAAAGTACACACAAATTTACTTCTTCAGCATTTTTTCATAGTTAATTGCAATCTTTCAAACCGCTTGAGATTTTTGAACAGAATTTCAAATTATGTATTGAAATTGTTTCCAAATTCGTAGGTTTGTTCCACAAGCTACTCGAAATTGCTACGGGCTACAATTAAGCGTTTTACCAGCAAATTTACATGTTAATAGAGAGCAAAACACTTATGTCAAAATGGCAGAAACTAACACACACTTTGCTCGAAATTTTTTTCGAGCACAATCTATACTAACAAACAAATAAGTCTGTGGTAGTTTACACAAAACTGTTCCAAGAATTTTTTTTTAAGGATAGTAATTTGCAAAGTCCTTTGCTTTACGCTCACAGTTTGAACTTAGCTCGAGTTTTTCTTCGAGTAGCTCGTGGAACAAACCTAATATAAAATCGAAAATTATGCATTAGCGAAAAATTAAAACGCTTTTGATAAACATAAACAATAACAACAATTTGTTAGTAAAGAATATTCGTAGGCTTCATAATTTTCTAAATAACGCAAGAGCGTGAATAACCAGGCGACATACTGTAGCACATTTAACAAAAAAAAAAGTTGAATTTAAATTCAAATCAGGTTTTTCGAAGTTAGCACCGATACACTTAAAATAGTTATAGAACAGCACTCGAAGCTAACTAATAGTGAAAAGAAATTTCTTAAAATTTTTCTGAGATTCGATTCAATGATTCATTCCCTAAGTTCATGTAGTAGTTGTAGGAATTTCTTACTGAATTATCACAAATTGTAAAAAATGTATTTTCGAGTTTTGTGTTTGACAGAGTCCTCTGCAACCTATCATACAGTTATTGCATTAGAATGAAACAAAAAATCCATAAAAGTTCATTGCTGCGGAAATTTAAATTTAAAAATTTTCTCAGTGCTGGGAGTGTTCAAACGCAATTCAAATTGAATAGAATAATTCTTTAAACTCAAATAATAATGGAGCAATCAAAAAACTTTTAATACAAATTTTCAGCACTTCGGTAGAAGTTTCGAGACTTTCTTTGAGCTTAAGGGAATAATTTAATATTTTATGAAATTGAATTTTTTCTAGAACGTCGGTTTCACGCTCCAATGACAACAAATTTGTGTAATTTGAAAAAAGTAGTGTGGGAAAAACTGTGTGTAAATATGCATTCATAAATGCAATTAAAAAGGTATTTTCTAGTGGCTACCTTTGAGGCTCAAACTTGAATCATTTAATGCCTAGTAGAAATTTGGTATAAAGGGCGAAGAATCAAAATTGTGTAGGACACAAATTTGGAAAATAGATAAAAAGTTATACAGCTATATGGAAATCTACAGAATGTATAGGCAGAAAATTTGGTATTAAAATATATGTATGTCAACACAATATGTGGTAAAATATAATTTTTGAAAAATAGCGAAAAGTTAGTGCCTACAAGCAGAAAAACACAATTTGAGTTAGACAAAAAAAAAACAAGAATTCACACTAAAATGCCTAAAAGCAAAAAAAGCTACGCTGGCGCTATTAATTAACTTTTAAATTGCAATTAAGCAAAAATGTACTAAATCAAGTGAAAGAAAAAAACCGCAATTGGCTGCTGCCAAAGCGAAAAATAAAACAACACTAAATTCCGTTTTTCTATAAATCAACTGCATACTACTCACCAAACCCCAAATCCAAAAGCAAAAATCTAAAACATTGAATGAAATTTTAAAATGAAATTCAAGCAAATTGCAAAAAATAACAACTATATACTTCAGTTAGCAAATGGCAAAAGTAAACAGCTAAATAAATAAATTACAACCAATTTGCAATGACATTCACTTCAGTTTGGAAATTCTATTGATTCTACTAGTAGTAACTATGTATTTACTTGTACTTACTGCCATCCTGCCTTTAACTCTGTCTTTCTCTTTCTCTCTCAAGCTATTTATAACTTCGTATACTTACGCTCTTTTGTATGTATGTACATAAGTCTTTTAGTCTACTACTTTCTACTTTTCTATCGACCAAACCTCTATCTAAATAGCAAACTACTTATAGCAGTCAAACTACTTATAGCAAACAAACAAACATTCAAATATTTAATAAAAATTTTCCATTTCGTCAACGCCGCACATACAAATTGAACATCTATAAATTTATTTATGTACATAAATATCGTACTTGTTACACCTTCCGTGGAAGCTGAAACTCAAAAATATGTTTTTGTTTGTTTTTTTCTTCTTTTCTCTTTCTTTTGTTTCTAATTGCAGGAAGTAAGTAGAGAAAAAACAAAACCAAAGAACAAAAAAAGAAACGTCACACACACACACACGCAGAAAACATACCCAAACACATATGCACACATTTATTGGTTGGTAGAGAGTGTTGCAAGAAAACGTATGAAAAAATAAATAAAATAAAAAATTTACAGTTTGGAAGCCTGCAATAGCATACCTGCAGGCGCCGCGCCGTAGTTAGCTTTTAAGTGTACAAAAGAAAGGGTTCTAGCAATTTGTGAATTTGTTGTAAGAAAACTATTTGCTATGAAAGCAAGCGCTACATATGCACAAATATGTATATTTATAAATATGTACATATGTACCTCGTTGAATTTATGCATTTTGTGGCTATGACAAAACTGTACTGTACGTACATACATACATATGTATGTGCAGCCAACAATACAGTTAGCAACGCAAACTTTATATATGTGTTTCAACGCGGAATGCAGTTTATTTTTAAATTAGTTATAGAAATAGAACGATCACGTAAGATTTTTGCTCGCATCCAAAAACAAAATTTGAAAAAAAAACATACTCCCACATCATCAACGATAATTCAAATTGTATGACTATCATCGCAAGCAAACCCAAAGAAATCAAAAAAAAAAAAAAAAGCAACAGCGTAGTGTTTGTTAGCAACCCAAAAAATAGCAGATTTTTTCGTTGAATTATTTTGATACGCTACACTTATTTTTGGCTCGTCTGCATAGTTTGTTTTTTTTTTTTCCAAATTAGATTTAGCTTTGAGTTAAGCATTCGTTCGTTTTTTTTACACATACATACATATGTACTATATTACTACTATATATGCAAAATTATATATACATTTTTACATATACATACATATGCAGCATATACGGTGTATATATGTACAAGAAGCACACATTTCAATACATTTACATTCCTATTTATACTGTATATTTACCACGTATGTAACACATTTTTAAACAAATATTTTTATTCTTTCTTTTCGACAACGTTACCTTTTTTGTGTTGTTGCGTGCGTGTGTGTATAATTTTTGTAAATGATTACGCAAAATTAAAATTAAATTTATCAAAAAAAAATGTAATACAAAAAAATTATGCGTTTTTGTCATCACGCTGCAAATGTAAAAATAAAAAAAAAAAATTAAAAATTAAAAAAAAAAAACTGAAACACACCACCAATCAACCAATCAACCAACCAACAAACCTCACATCCTTCACTGTGGATATGCCAAAAAAAAAATCTGTATGAAATTAAAACTCAATTTTTGAAACAAAAAAAAAAATCGTTGACAATTTCGATCACACACAATTCAATCCAAATCAATCCATCCACAAAATGTTTGCCAATGCCTTATGAAAACGTAGAAAGCCACCTCAAACACCAGCCGAGTAAGTGTTACAAAGAAAAAAAAAGAATACAAATAAAGCCTTATAAATATTTATAGCGTTTTTTTATTGTTGTAAACTCACCAAACGCCAACTGGCTGCAAGTGAAGCATTCCAACTTAACAGCCAAACAAATTATAATCAGCTGTTACTTGCTAACGCAACAAAATTTCAATATTGGTTTTCACAAAAACAAAAAATAAAACTTGCAAAATTTTTCCACAACAAAAAATTGTACATGTTCCTTAAACGTAAGATATATTGCGAAAGTTTATTTAGAAAATGAAAAAAAAAATATTTCTTCAAAATTAAATTTACTCCAAAATCTTACCATTAATTCACTTGCAGCCAAACATAACTAAATTTCTTCTTACCTACAAAGCCCTATTTCCTTGTTTGTTTTTGTAACTTTGCTTTATATGCCATTATTGTGTGTGAATCAACGCAGTGCAAGCTTCCCAAAAATAAAAAAATTATAAAAATCGTAAACGCCAAGTAATTTTGTTTAGTTAGTTGAATTAATCATTTTTTTGTACTCACCCAACATTAATGTTCCCCCTAAGCATAAAATAAAGTAAAACCATTTAAAAAAACAACAGTATTTTAGTAAGATATGCATTTTGTGTCATGCCATTTAGCCTTTTCGATCCACTGTACATTCACATACATACATACATATGCACCACCGGCTCAGAAACTGCTTTGTGGAAAGCAGCAGCATCCACCCATACCATCTGCATAGGCTAATGTATTCATTTACTAGCTAGTAGCATAACTGTTTTGTGTTGTTACTCTATTTATGCACCTAAATACTATTTATGTAAACGTTTATGTTGGTTTTGTTGTTATTACAACGAAATTTTTACGTAGTTATCATAGAAATGCATTTATACTTTAGTTTTTTTTAATACCTAAAAAACTTTTATTTCTTTTCATTTATTGAGAAAGATTTGTTAAATATATTTATGCGAATTGACAGCGTTTTTAATGGTTTTATTAAAAAAATAAACAACAAAAACAGAAAATTCAGGGTGTTTTCTTAAAATAATTTAAAAAATTGACTTTTGCTCTTTTTAGAAATCACTAAAAACGACATATTGTTTTCTTATATTTTTTAAACAAATTTTTAAATTATGATTTTTTTCGAATTTCAAAAAAAAATAAACTTTTAAAAAAGTTCAAAAAATTGTTTTCTTGGTACTTTTTTTTAGAAGATTAAGAATGATTCACAATTTTTACCAAACACGATTTAAAGAAGCTATTAAAAATTTCTAAAAAAAAATATTAAATTTAGTAGTAAGTAATTTTAGTATTTAAAAAAATATTTCTTAAAATCGGTTAAGGATTGCATTATTATTTCATTCTAAATTAAAAAAAGATATAAATAATAATGGCATTTTTAAACTTCGAATATACAATTTGAACAATTATTTTTTTTTTATTATCTTGAGATGTTTTCTAATTCACTAGACCAATTTTTCGGACCTTAAAAATAGTTATTTTTGTTAAATNATTAAAAAAAGATATAAATAATAATGGCATTTTTAAACTTCGAATATACAATTTGAACAATTATTTTTTTTTTATTATCTTGAGATGTTTTCTAATTCACTAGACCAATTTTTCGGACCTTAAAAATAGTTATTTTTGTTAAATATTAAATATTGTTTTCTGAAAATTTTCGCCTTAAACTCACACAATTTTTTGTTAGTTGTTAAAACTTATAAATATTGGCTACTTTTTAGAAATTCAAAACTGTTTTTGCTATGTTGAATAACCTTTATGATTAAAAACATTTTTGGGATTTGTCTTAATTCGTGATTATTTAATATATAAAAATAATTATTTTTTAGTTTCTAAAAAAATGCACCCAAGAACTTTTTTTACTGTTTTGCGAATTTTTCTATTTTATTTGGCTGCTTTTTGAATATAAATTTTTTTTTTAATGAAATATATACACCTCTGGGCGAAATAAAAGCA